TCTTTGCAGTGGAACAGGGAAACTCAGAAATAATCCATTTATTAACCCTATTGAGTACACACCTCACTTTTCTTTCCGAGATGTTTTTACTTTCAGTCAGGAGATCCCACATTTTCCTTTTCAATCTTTTCACATCCATCTTTTTTGCTGTCTTTGAATAATTCAGTAGGGTTTTGTTGACTTTCTGAGGCTCTACAAGATCTGTGACCAGTGGTGTTCTGCAAGGATCTTTGCTGGGATCTCTGTTGTTTGTAATGTATATGTAATAACGTGGATGAAAATGTAGGTGGTCCAGTTAGTCCGTGAGAAAGGATACAATTGATCTATGGCAGATGGAGTTTAATCCAGACAAGTGTGAAGTGATGCATTTTGGGAGGTCAATTGCAACAGGAAAGTATACATTTAATGGCAGGATCCTTAGAAGTACTGATATACACAGAAATCTTGGGATCCAAGTCCATAGCTCCCTGAAAGTGGCAAGTAAATAAAGTAGCAAGAAAGGCCTATAATATGCTTGCCTTCATCAGTCAGGGCATCAAGTATAAAAACTGGCAAATCATGTTGCAGATGTACAGAACTTTAGTTAGGCCACATTTGCAGTATTGTGCGTAGTCCTAGTCCCCACAATACAGGATGGATGTGGAAGCTTTAGACAGGGTGTAAAAGATGTTTACCAGGATGTTGCCTGGATTGGAGTATATTTTAGCTGCAAGAAGAAATCGACAAACTTGGATTATTTTTGGTAGAGCATTAGAGGCTGAGAGGCAACCTAATCAAGCGTATCGAATATGAGAGGCATGGATAGTCTGAGTTTTTTTACTCAGGGTGGGAATGTCAAATACAAGGGTGCATAGTTTAAGATGAGAAGAAAAATGCTAAAGGGACATGTGCAAGGAATTTTTTTTCTTACACAGAAGCTGGTATGCCTAGAATGCAGCACCAGGGAGGTGGTAGAAGCAGAATAATTAGCAAAGTTTAAGAGGCATTTAGATAGACACATGAACAGATAGGGAAGAGAGGGATGTGGACTAATTGCAGGCAGATGGGATTAGTTTAGAATGACATGGTGGGCTGAAGGGCCTATTCCTGTGCTGTCGAGTTTTATGTGTGGGGCAAGTGGGACGTTCACTTGATGTTCTGGCCCACAGTTAGGGACACTTTTGCTACATTTCAAAAGACTTTAATTTTTATTTTAATTTTTGCTAATCAACCTGTTCAGAGATGTTATTACACACCTCTTGGGAAAAGAGGAAGTTGAACCTAGGCCTCTGGGTCAGAGGCTACAAGTGTCCTAAATTTGTAATATTTTCTAATAAACCTGTACAGATATGGTATTACACACCTCTAGAGGAGGTGGGACTTGAACATGGGCTTCCTGGCTCAGATGTAGGGACACTACCACTGCAGCATATTAGCCTTTAATCCTCCTTTATTTGCTGAGGCGTAGGGCTTGACTAATTATTTATGGTAGACAATAGACCACTGGTGAGTCTTAACAAATGAGATATCTGAGCACCGTTTGATGTTTGCTAGATGTCATATAGATCCCATAGATAATGTGCAAGTGTAGTAATAAGTTAGATTTTGACAATTCATGAGTACATTAGCAAATATAGTCAGTTAAACATGCATAAGAAAATTTCAGATAATGTATTAAGTTTAAGAAACAGCAGTTAGATATATTAGTTAACTAGACAAAAAAAAGTGTTCAATCCATGATGAGAGGATTGTCACTGATACCAGAAGGTGAACAAGCAGTGGGTATGGAGTATGTCAAGCTCTTTAATGCGAGGGCTACATCTTGCTCTCTAGCTGGTGTGTTACGGAACTCTTCCCTGGATCTTCCCTCAATCTCAGCTGCTTTCTTCAGATGGAAGATGGGCCAGCCCTCTGTCAAGGGATGTCACTACAAGTACTATGACTGATCCTGCGCACTTGTCGATATGCTGTAATTCCACAGGTTGATAGTTTGTGTCAATTTCCCATTTGAATGTTCTAGTCAATAGACATAGGACAGCTATTCTTGACATTCATCCGCACTTGCTCACTCTCATCTGGAAGTTATTCATCATTCCTTTTGAGGGGAAAAATCTTTTATTTTCCTAAACAATGCATTTATACTAGGCTATATGTACTGCCATATAATTATTTGGCATAAGCTTATGAAACATTATGGCCTTGGCAATCTTTGTCACCTTCCTTTTGTCTAAATAATTACAAATTGTTTCAGATCCAAATCACTTGCTACACAGTAAATACTAGACAAATTCAATTTTAAAAAGGAACCCTGATTTCTAACAGGAAGTGGGTAAATATACAGTCAGGATGAGCTTTTGGGATACAGAGGCTCCAAAATGACACATCAAGTACTAATATCAAGAATCAATCCAATCTTCTGTGATGCATTTTGAGACATTTAGATGTCCCATCAAAATACAGAGTTTCTGCTAAGCTACTCCTTAATCCAACAAAAGAATGGGCTAGATCATTCAAACTCAAATTAAATAAATGGAAGGACAAATTTTTTCATGATCTCTCAAAAGTGAGCTTTCGATGAGGATTATTAAAAGGTGTAAGAAAGAAATAATAGTGTAGTTTTATTCTGTGTAATATATTAAAATAAATTAACATCTATAATACAATTGTGGTTAACAATCCATCCATGATGTTTAAAACTTCACAAAAGGTGTTGTTTTTGTTTTCAGAGCACCAACATTTTAACAAAGCTTACTGAATTTTAGTTCTAGACTGAGAAGTTCATGAACAAGCCAATGTTCTCCAAGATAAAATGTGACCATATTCATAGTATATGTAAGCTGTCGATATTACATATTTGTGAATTCCAAACCTTTTTGTTGTTACTGGGCAATACATATGAATGCTTTTACATCTCAAGTCAATTCAGAAAGAGAGACAACCGGAGACTTTTTCCTGTAACAGCAGTATAGGTGGCATGTTTAATCAGTTGAAATACAGCATCAGAAGACAGTTCACAAGTGTTAAAAAGGTAAGTTAGATGAGGTCTCACATTTCACCAACAGCCTTGGGATAAACAAATACTAAAAACAGACTGTGATGACAGTTTACATCCTCAGCAAAAGGAGTAGTTTTATGATTTACAGTCATGTATTCTTAAGGAACCATATTTCATTTTTGGAACAAAGGAACAGGAGTAGGCCATTCAGCCCCTCAAGCCTGTAATTCAGAGACAGCAAATCCAAACTTACAATTCATAGCTATGAATGAATAATATCCAGTACTCCCTTTGAAGGACAGTTAATTTGAACTGGATATGCATGATAACAAGCCCAGAGTTCTGAAGACACTAGTCTTTCAAATGGTATTTAGGAAGTATTTTAAAAGGAACAAATGACATTTGACATCTTGATGTTTTAACTGTTAAGGATCCACATGTATTTTTGAAAGATTTAATATAGAACTAACTTAAACGACATTGAGATTTAAATCAATGCATTATTTCCACCCTAAATAAAAGTAGTCAGAGACACAGTAAAGAGAACACCACGAAGAAATTACTGAAATTTTGTCACAGATGTACAGAAAATGTGTATTGTCATCTTTGAAGAAAAGAAATGATGAAGAATGGTGTCATTATACTTGAGAACAGGAATAACTAAAAGTTTCATAGCAATATCACATACTCAGTTTAGAACAAACTATTTGGATATTATTAAGCACACTGCAAAGGGAAAAAAAGGAAGATGATTTTATTTTTGCTTATTTATATCCCAACATGCTGAAATTATGCTTGCAGTGATGTTATAGAAACAAAATACAGCTTTGTGATTTTGGTAAACTTTCTGAATATTTTATTTAATGTAAACTTTCCCAAAAACAAAAAGTACCACTTGAAACACAAAAAATTGCACAATGTTCAAAACAAGAAGCTGAATATTTGTATCCTTGAGAAGCAAGGCCGTATAAAGCTACAGAGCTACAACCTTGGAGATGATTATTCAAATAAAGAGTTAAAAGGGTCAAGAGAATACCAAACATTTCACATCCAAGAACTTGACATACATAAAAAAAAGTCTTTCAAGCTCAAGTTGAATTATTTTTAAATTTGCATTAAACAACAGCTTTAATGATTCCCAAAATTATCAAAGTAGATACTGCAAACATTATTTCTCACTCAATGCTTTCTGGTCACCAATACTGTCTATCTAGAGCATTCACAGAGAGATGAGATTTATATTTGTTTACCTATTAGGCCATAGAAAACAATACCAATGAATAAGATAGATACCTCTTCCAGGAATGTCAAAAGTCAGCAATTTAGTTGGTGCATACATATCTTGCAACCCAGTGAAGAACTAGTAAACATTTCAAATTACCAAAAAATGGTCAATCTTGATATTCAAATCCATGTGCTATCATCAGTTTGAAAACCAGAAATATAATGGGTTGGTTCAAACTGTTGCTATTTTGACCTGCTGAGGTATGTGAAACTTTGAATTGTATACTTGATTCCTTCACTCAGGCAGACAACAGGTTTATATCCTAGATCTTTCTTTGCCCTTTCACAGCTGTAATAGTGGAATGTTCCAGCCAATGCTACCCGCATGGGAGTGAATGTAGGTTTAATGGTCACAATTGGCTTTAATAGCAACACCAAAATTGAGAGAAAAAAGGCTAAGTAATAAGCCAGCAGGTATGGAATGTGATACTTTGGAGGATCATAATTTAGTCCAACTAAAATTTCAGACAAGAATGTCCAAAAGGGAATTGGTTCATCATTTGTGATATGATAAGCCTATTGGAATTAAAAAAGAAAGAAAGTTAATGTACTACTTATATTTCAAAACAACAGTTCTTTCAAACTAACTTCACACAATATAACAATAATTTTGTTCAATGGCAACATGGATTATGTCAGAATTCACAAGACACCAGGTTATAGTAAAATAGGTTTATTTGAAAACACAAGCTTTCAGAGTCTTACTCCTTCTTCAGGTGTTAGTGAGAGAGGTAGTATCAGACTCAGAATTTATCAGTAAAAGATCAAAGGGTCACACCACTGATGAGGATGTACTAAACAAATGTAAGATGCTGTTAAATCTTTAATCAGTTAGAGGGTTTTAATCGATAAAGATGTACATGTAAATCCACAAATTCCTTTTGAGTCCCTGTTCTGTGAGAACTAAAGGTTTTATCAGTGTAAAAAAAAAGTGACATTTTATATCAGACAAAGTATGTTAAGTGTAATGCCTTGTTTAGGATCTGTTTGTGTTTTGGTTTGGAGTTGGACTGGTTTCATTTCTAAAGTAGGAATTTATAAAATGCCCAGTTGACTGACTGTCCATACATTGTGTGTTTTTTGAAGAAAATAGCATGTATCTGCAAATACAAATTCACTCGTTGATTTACGTGTGCGTGCATTAACGTGTGTGTGTAAGAGGGAAAGACAGAGAGCGCGAGAGCGAGAGCGAGTATGTGTTGGGGGGGGAAGAGAAAGAGAGAGAGAGAGGGTGGGGGACGGAGTGGGATTGTGTGACAGAGATGGAACTGGTTGTATAAAGATAAAAGAAAATAAAATGGGCAACATAGGAGGACTATAATGTTAATTTTAGGAAAACATGAACATGCAGTTAATTGGATGGCAGCACTCTTGATTATGTTTGAAGGTGTATCACAAAACCCACAACAGACTACAACATGATCTGGATGATACCAATGGAGCATTCCATGGTCAAAGGCATCACCTTTTGAATGAAATATTAAAGAGCAGTCCTGTCTGCTGTCCAGGTGGATGTAAAAGCTCTCATGACATTATTTTGTCAAAAGGATAGGTGCATAAGTAAAGGCTATCTCCTTTGTATATATGGTCATGAATTGCTAACATTTATTGAGGTATTTGGACTATAATACATGTATTAATATTGATAGTGATAATTTCACTCTGATGCACTAAGTAATCTTTTGGTGGTCTCCAGGAATGGCTTGAGCTGGGGTCTGAATGCAGCTGTGTTACAGCTTTGTACAGGATTAATTCCAAATGAGGAAAGATATGAAGGCATTAGTCAGGATGCAAAAATGATTCATAAGAATGGTTCCAAGGATGAGAAAGAGGAACTTCAGTTACAAGGACAGATTGACAAAGTTGGGTCTATTCTCCATGAAGTAGAGGTTTTTTCTAATCAACCTGTTCAGACATGTTATGACACACCGCTACAGCAGGCAGACTTTGAACCAGGAGACCTGTGTTCATGGTGGGTCATTACCACTGGACCACAGGAGCCCCTACCTCCTTGGAGTAGGGACGATTACAGTACATTTCATACGGGTGTTGAAAATGGAGTGGTCTAGACAGATTATTTAGGGAGAAACTGTTCTGACTGACAGAAGGATCAAAAACCAAGGGACACTGATTTAAAGTCACTCAGGAGAATAATTGGCAACATGAAGTAAAACTCTTTCTTAACAAAAAAGGAATGACAACTCGATAAAATTTGGAATTACCCAAGAATGTGGTGAAAGATGATTTAAGTGAGGCTATCAATAGAGAATTTGACAATTATCTGAGGAAAAAGAAAATCTACAGCGCTTTAGAGGAAAGGAGGGCAAAGTACGACTCAGGGAGTTGTTCTTGCAGAGAGCCAGCATGAATAGAAGACCAAGTTCTTTTTTTCTGATATTGTTTATTCAGGGGACGTGGGCTTCACAATTTATTCCCAACCTTTATTGCCATTCAAAGAATGATGGTGAGCTGCCTTCTTGAATTGGTGCAGCCCAGTTGATGTAGATAAAGGTGGTTGAAAAGGCAAACAAGATGATACTCGCTACTGGTCAGCTCAAATTTAGAAACTACCTACATCTTGGTGCATTTGAGTATGGATTGCTTCGTTATTAGTGGCAGTGCTGCCGAGCCACTGGTGGTGAAGTCCACTGAAGTCACCGACCAGAGTACATTCTGTGCCTTTGCCACCATTTCTTCCTCCAAGTGGCTGTCAACATGGCGAAGTATGGATTCATCAGCAGGCGGGTGGCATGTGGTAATCAACAAGAGGTTTCATGGCTCTTGTTTCACCTGATGCCATGAAACGTCATATGCTCCAGGGTTAATATTCAGCACTTCCAAGGCAACTCCTTCCTGAAAATATACTATTGGTGCTCCTGCTGGTGAGACAGAACAGATCCAGGGAGGGACATGATGTTGTCTGGGACATAGTCAAACCTATGGAATTATACCTAACAAAGTCAGGCTGTTGCTTGAGGCAGCTCTCCCAGTTTTGGTTACAGAAGATTTGTCATGTTTAATTACTTTTTTTTGAGCAAAAACAAAGTTGCTGGAAAAGCTCAGCAGGTCCGGCAGCATCTGTGGAGG